AGCGGCCGGGGAGAGCCGGCAGGGCTATCTGTCAGCACAGCACGAACTGCACTCTCCCCACCCGAGTGGTCTGAACCCACCCCTGCAGAACAGGAGCCTTGTCTTGCTCCAAGGAATGACCTGCCCAGAAGAGCCTGGGCCCCAGCAGGAACAACCACCACCTCCGGGAGGGTTTGCAGAAGGTTCCTAGCGCTAGAAGGCGGCCACGAACAGCAAAACCCAACTGTACCGTTTTTCTTGGGCCCTCTCCACACCATGGCATCATCCGGCTTCTCCAGCAGGAAGCCGATGGACATGAGCGAGATGCTCTTGTCTCGGTCCGCAAAGACGGGGACCCAGCCGCTGTCACACTGGTGCACGTCGTTGTCCTGCACCCTGAACATGCGGGGTATGCTGGGGCCACACAGGTCCACGTCCAGGATCCCCACCTGCGGGCGATGAGGCAGAGCCCTTCAGACAGGGCTGAGCACAGCGGCAGCACCCGGCCGCGCTCCCTTCCCTGGGCGGCGGCAGGAGGCAGCGTCCAGATTTCGGCTGCTCGCAGCACCTCACTTGCAGGGACTCCGAGCTCAGCAGCCAGATTTGAAACACAAAGAACCGCTTTAAAGTTTGACTGCCCTCCTGGTCACCATCCCTCTGAGGAGCATCTCCCCGGCGTTCCCCGGGAACTTTGGGGAGATCGTTATGCCAGACACCTATGGCATAACACGTTATGTCAGGACCCAAGCGGCATCGGCCGCACAGAGCCTTTAAGAAAAAATAATCCTCGGGGAATTCAGCCTGTCTCACCCCCACACGGTTCCCCTTTGTCCCCATCCTAACGCCGTCCTTCAGCTCGCCCGCTTCACTCCACAAAGGGAGGCGCCTGTTCCACCACAAACCAGCAAAGTCATTTCTCAGTGCCTCAGTTTCAAAACCAACAACAAACCTGGGGTGATTTTAGCCTCTTGGATGAAAGGGAAACGAACTGCAGTTACCTGCACTGGATCAAGCGAACGCAGAAAAAAGAATCGCTCGAGCTGCTATCACAGACAGCGCTTTCCCACAGAGAATCCATACGCTGCCCGCAGAGGACACACGCGCGCACGAAGGACGAGCAAAACCCAGCCGGAGGCCGGGAAGGAGAAGACGGAGCTCAGCATCCCACAGGCCCTCGCTCACCTTCTTCCCGGAGTGCCGCAGCGACAGAGCCAGCTCGGTGGAGATGGTGCTCTTCCCCACGCCGCCCTTCCCGGAGAGCACCAGCAGGATGTGCCGCACCCCGGCCAGGTTGCTCCTCTCTGGGAGGAACAATAACAAGGCGTCAGAGGCTCTAACAAGAGCAGTAACGAGGCATCCAGAGCCTCTCCTGATGTAAGCCGGCAGCACCCTGACGGGTCAGCGCAGAGACGCGGGTCTCCGCTGAGGGTGACGGCGGCCGTCACCGCGCCAGCAAGTCCGGTCTGAGCGTAAGGGAGAGGGGAACAACGCGCCGCAGCCCTCCCGCCACCAGAAAAGGGACAATAAGAGCAAGGGCTGTAAAGGCTCTGTGGGCAGTAAAGGCTTTGGCCTGGTGACCTCAGCGGCAACTGGGCCAAGCAATCAACACCCACAGGGCCTCGTCACGCCGTGCCTGCGCCAGGTCCAGCCCGAGCCCTCTCGGGGAACGGCTGGGAGGCTGCAGGTGAGCT